AATTCCCAAGCGGATCCTGCTTTGGAAGAAAACAGGAGAATGCTGGAACACTTGAGCAACATATTTTTAAAAGAAGCAAAATTCAGCAGTCTATTTTCAACCAGGTACTGCTGCAATATATAATACCTTTTTTTAAAAGATGTACCAATCCTTAAATATGTTGTGACAACAAAATATGTATGCAAATGGATCACAATATTTAGTCTTATATTTTGGGATTTTACTTGGATCCCTTTTGCATCAGTTATCCTTTATGTTGTACTTTATTAGTGTTGAGGACCACAATATCTATAAAAAAATCTTACTGTCAGTCTTTTTTTTTTTTTCTTTTTTTCACTTGCTTTCCCATTAATTGTTAGGTTACTTAACTATTGCATGGATTACTTGGCCAAATAGCTTTTAGACACTTTGCAAACTGCTACTACTTTTTACTAACTAGTTAGAATTTATAAGTCAGAGTGAAGGATTTAGGAAATGTCTGTATTATATTAAGCACTGCCTGGGCAAAGTATCTTGGAAATGAGGGGAAGCATGAATTCTTCATACAGCTGTAAGAGTCAGTCTTTGGTTTTATATGCTAATGCAAGAAGTCTTGTATACTGCAGTGAGTTAACATAGATTTCTTCTCTGAAAATAACTAAAGGAGCACATTAAAGGGGGCTTAAATACTTTTACAACAGTGAAGTTTCTTATATACTTTTGTATTGATGTTATTTTGTAAAAGTGAAATGGTGTTTGGAGGAAGGGCATGTAATTTTAACCCGATACAGAGTTACTCTCTGCCTGAATATGCTTTTTGCTGTTTTTGGATGACTTCTCTGTTACATGGCTGTTGGCTTTGGAGATGGGTGTTTTCTGCTCCTAGTGGATTTTTTTTTTTTGATGTTTTGTAATGCTAAATTCTTTCAAAAAAACCAAAAAATCCAAAACAAAAAACTGCCAAAGGCTTAAATTTTAACATGTAGTCTCTTAGTATCTTGTTGTTTTATACCAAGTTTTCTTGATTTTAGTGTGTGTTTGTGGTTGGCTTCAGTGTTAGGAATTAGGCTAACTTAGGCTAATTAGGAATTATTGTTTATGGGTAGTTAAGTGCTACGAGACACTTAACTGGAATGGCGCTCTTATACAGTCTCTTTCTCCATTACCAATACAAAAAAAAGCGTGTATATTACATATGTCTCTTCATGCCAACACAGATTTTCCTCCTTTCTGAACACTGAATCCAGTTTTCTATCTTGAATTTAGCCAACACTGTATCTGTACATGAGAAGTACATACGCAGATATAATTGGTAGACTAACTTTTACATTTGAAACTGCTTCTTTAAATAGCCAAAACTATCTTTTTCTACCAGGTGATCTGGCCTTGAAAATTTTCATCTGCTGTATCACCTAAAGATGTATCTGAGAGAGAAAAAAAAGAAATAAAACCAAACTAAAGACATAAACTTTGTGACTTTGTTTTAGTATTGTGACAGTCTTTTAAATTGTATAAAAGTGGATGCTGATCAACATTGCCAAGGTTTTTAAAAAGAATTTTAAGTTTGTAGTTTTGTAACAAAGTTTTGTGTTGCCCTCTTCCGTGTACGTAGATTTGAAAAGCATATTGCAGTATGTGTAGAATCATGTTCACTAGACAGTGAGATGTGGGCAGTCATTACTAAGTCTTGATTTTTACTATAGTATATATAGATTTTTATATGTGTGATAATGAGTTGTGGTTAACAAAAGTTTTCCACAACATAGAGCTAATCAACTATTGTAAATCAGTATGTGTCTATGTCCTTCCAGGGACTCAATTTTGCATTTGCTGCCAGCATTCTTTTCATCTTGGCCTGATTTTGTCGGTGGCTGTGACTACTGTGGTAACTTCCTTTAATGATGCTGTTCTTTCCAGGCTAGGTAAAAACTTGTTTGGATTTTCTTTTACATTTTCAATATCTGAATGAACTTCATGTATTTTTTTCCCGTTTATGTTTGTGTGACATGTTAAGAGTTGCTGTTCCTGTATATTAAATAGAGCTGGATCTGAGGCACAGTTCCCCTTTGAATGGCTGAAGTGACTTGGTAATACACTGTTGCAACCATTCTGTTAATGTCCTCAAGTTTCTGCTCTCAGCTGTTCTGAAAATCCAAAAAGAATAGCTAAACTCAAACAGAAAGGATGTTAAAAGTCAAATTTACATGTAGAATTTAGATCCTCTGTAACTTTCTGAAATATTCTGAATTGTAAGTCATATCTTCCTCAATCAGGTTTTTATAAACTTGTAAAATCCTGTATTAGTAATTGAAATAAATCTTTGTATTTTCAAAGCAGTGCTGGCTAGGCATGTTTTGACAATGACTAATAGTCTGTTTCATTTGACTGTGGCTTCATATCAATAACGACATGAAGCTGTTTACCCTTGTGATTTAAAGAATCAAGTTGCTTTAGATATTCTGCTTTTGTGGAATTTTGCATTCTTTGCATTCTTGCCACATTTCTTCGGTAAAAACTGCACACCCTTTATGAGCATTTTTCCTCTGTCCCCTGATGACACTGGATGGATGATTGGCTATTTGGCAGTTTCTGTCATCTTATATTGTCTCTTTTTCTTTCTCTATCCTGATCCTTACATTACTAGAAATTTGAAGACTGAAGATTTGTTTCTGTTGTGTTTTTCTTAAAAAGAAACCCTTCCAAGACAAACTCTTCTTCCTCCTACAACCAGCTCCCCACCTATTTTCTCTAATCTGTCTTTAAGACAATTATCCCTCCTAATAGTGGATGGACTGTCTATTTCCTTGTTTGATTAGAGCTGAGAAGCTGTATGTGTGCTCTAAATGGTTGCTGTCCCTGTGGTGTTAATAATAAAGAGGGTAAGGTCTCTTCAGTTCCTGATTTCTACGAACTCTCTGCTTCTCTGATGGCATTTATCTTAAGTGAATAGATCTCTTAATTCAAATGGTTCTAGTCCTAATTGTTGTAAAGCAGGTTTTTGCACGCTACTGATTTCCAGTGGCTTGGTTTCCTTTGTTGGCAACGTGGACAGTGGGATTGAATGCACCCTCAGCAAGTTTGAAGACAGCATGCTGTGTGGTGCGGTCGACACACTGGAGGGAAGGGATGCCATCCAGAGGGACCTTGATAGACTTGACAGGTGGGCCCATGCAAACATCCTGAAGTTCAACAAGGCCAAGTGCAAGGTCCTGCACATGGGTCGGGGCAATCCCAAGCACAAATACAGGCTGGACGGAGAATGGATCGAGAGCAGCCCTGAGGAGAGGGACTTGGGGCTGCTCGTTAATCAGAAGCTCAACATGACCTAGCGATGTGCACTTGCAGCTCAGAAAACCAACCGTATCCTGGGCTGCATCAAAAGAAGCACGACCAGCGGGTAAAGGGAGGTGATTCTCCCCCTCTGCTCCACTCTCATGAGACCCTACCTGCAGTACCGCCTTCAGCTGTGGGGCCCCCAACACAAGGAGAACATGGAGCGAGTCCTGAGGAGGGCCATGAGGATGATCCGAGGGCTGGAGCACCTCTCCTATAAAGACAGACTGAGAGAGTTGGGGTTGTTCAGCCTGGAGAAGAGAGGGCTCTGGACAGACCTTAGAACAACCTCCCAGTACCTAAAAGGGACCTACAGGAAAGCTGGGGAGGGACTTTTTACAAGGGAACGGAGTGATAGGGCAAGAGCCAATGGCTTTAAACTGGAAGAGAGAAGATTTAGATTAGGTATAAGGAAGAAATTCTTCACGGTGAGGGTGGTGAGGCAGTGGCACAGGTTGCCCAGAGAAGCTGTGGATGCTGCATCCCTGGAAGTGTTCAAGGCCAGGTTGGATGGGGCTTTGAGCAACCTGGTTTGGTGGAAGGTGTCCCTGCCTATGGCAGGGAGGTTGGAACTAGGTGATCTTTAAGGTCCCTTCCAACTAAACCATTCTGTGATATCATGAGCAGCATTTATTTTCAAAACTATGTGTATTTTTCCCTATCTGCAAGAATGGATAGTCAGCCATGTAGCTTTCCCTGATTCTGTACTTTAAGCAGTGTTTGGAACTTCTCTGGAAATTACTTCAGCAGAAAAAAAATTATGTATTTCTCCAAATGTTTGCTGTTTCTTTCAGAGTATGATCTTCTTTTTGATTCTTTAGATACTGTGAATATTTAATTTTGGAATTATATTGAACCTTGAATGATTTAATTTTTGTGTGTGCAAAACAAGTACACATAGGAAATAAACTTCCTTATGTTCTAAGTGCAAAATCTGTATTTCTTCTATGTGTTGCTTCTATTTTTAAGTTCACTTTAGCACCAAAGTTCTGGAATTGCAATCTCTTAGGTTTAGCTGGCATTGTGCATTGTTGCTTCTGTTTAGCTACTGTCAGTGGAAATGGAAAAATCTTACTATACTAAGGTGGAATCATTATATATAAACATTTTCCCTTGATGCTGTTCAATTACTCTGAAAGTGACAAAGCCAAAACTATGGGAACTTTTCTTTATTTCTCTTATACTTTGTCTCTTGTATTGAAAATTCCTTAGAAATGCCAGAAAGAAAAATGACTACTGCTGACCTTTCTGTTTTCAGAGACATTATGGATGGGGAAAAAATAGTATTTGCAGTAACATTGCGGCTGAATGATTTCCTTGCCAGACTGGCACCGATGTGTTAGTTTCGTGATATAGCTGTAAGCTCTACTGAACCTGTACTGGCTAAGTGCAAATCTAGTAAAGGTGTGTCTACACTGCTCTTTGCAGGACATCAGGTTCCAAGACAATTTATTAGTGCAAATGTAGGATCATTTGTATGAATGAAGCCATATATCCACGTGTAGCTGAACTGCTAAATCATGAGGGAGCCCAAAACTGCAGAAATACTGAGGGACGTTCTGTGACAATCAGCTCAACTTTACCCAGGCTTATTAATTTCTGCTTACAATGGTCTTGGTGTTAAGATCTCTGCACTCCACTTCTCAGTTACAGATATATTGGCATCTCTCTCCCCCATCCTGCCCCACTCCCTAATTAATGAGAATATCAGAGTCTTCCTTAATAGCAGATAAATCAAGTTTTAACTGTATATCAAAAGTTTTGTTTTGGATGCCATGTATAATCTAATGAACAGGCCCTCTTGCTTAGTGAAGTTTCAAGGTTAATCTTGAAAAGATGAATGTCATGTGGACAGAGTCAGATAATGTGTCATGTAAAGGTTTAGTTGAATAGGACAAAGATCTCGGGAATATTCGAAGCTTAGTGATGCAATTTGGTAAATCTTACCAGGTTTGTGGGTTAAAGTTTTACTATGCAACATCTTGGAATTTGTTTAGAAAACAAGAGTATTGGATGAACAAGCGTAAAGTTAAACTAAGATTTTACAGGTGACTACTTTGTCAAGTTATCACATTTTATGTTTAAGACTAACTTTATTGCTGCTTACTTTCCTGAGGAGTTAAAAACACTGGTTTATAAATAAATTCTTCAATTTTTTTTTCAATATCTATACTACAGCTTTTTTTTCCTGTTGTGATAATTTTTGGTGGGGGGATGATTTCTGGCTTCAAATTTGAACAATACTAATCACAAGTTCTTGAAGGAAAAAGTGCAAATTTTAGGCTATAGAATTGGTACATCTGACTAGTACTGTTTGTGTTGAAGAATATCTTTTTCTTTTGTAGCACTGAAGAACATGGAAATCTCTTAACATTTTTCCGAAACCTTTCGTCTTGTGCTGAGTGGTATGAACATCGTAGATGCACCTTCCTACATTTCAAGGTAGTGTCTATCAAGCCTTTATATATGAGTATTATATTTAGTACTTTAAGTAGTTCATTAAGATAGAGTAATGGAGGTGAAATTAGCACTCTTTAGCAGAGTCTGGGAATCTTAATTTTATGCATTATGGAGAAGAGAATATTAGCTAAAGGTTTTTCTGTTGTATTCAATGAGCAATGACCTTGCTTAGTATTTGTCTTGATTTTTACCATGCTATTGCTGCGTTCCTCATATGTGGGGAAAAATAAGAATATCTGTGCCTTTCTGTGGGGGAGTAAAATTTTTTCATTGGTATTAAATTTCATTTTGAACACAAAAAGCCAAATAAGAAATTAAAAGAAAATAAGGTCTGTAGTCTTTGGTATTTAAATGTTAGTTCTGAAGGACTGGATCTGTCTGGAAAATGTGGCAGCATGTGTTTGGGTGACAGCACTTTCAGTTCTGAAATGTTTTACTTGAATGGGAAATAAACTGTTCCTCTTAACTGAAACGTAGTATTTGAACTTAGTTTTAAATTACCATTATTTAGCTAGTTTGCTTTGTCTTTGTACTGGTTTTAAGATAAGCAGCTAATCCTTGGAGTAAAAATACTGCGGTCTTACAGATATAGAACATCTTATATGATGCTTAGTGTTAGAGGAGGATGTTTAGCTGCTTAATTGTGTGTGGGTTTTTTAGTTCTGTTTTATTTAGCTCAAGCATTTACTGTCGTTAAACTCAGCACCATCTTTACTTTTCAGCTGTAGTAGTAAGTGGGAACTGCTTTGTTTCCTATTTTTTGAATCTTTTAAGCCTTTCTGAGTTCAGGGCTAAATTAATCCATTTCTATTATCAAATCAACCAAATTAAAGAGAAAAAAGGACTAACTTCTGATAATGTTAAAAAAAAAAAATCCTGTTCTCAGCTGAGTAATAAACTGATGGTTGTTGTGTAAGGACTTCTCTTTAATCCTTCCATAAAGAGGGTGGAACACCGAGGCCTTTATGGCTTTGTGATTTGGGTTTTTTGATTGTTTTTTTCCAACTTCACTTGATGCTTTCTGGTCTAAGGATCAGCCTCATGACAGCAGTCACTGTGGTTTCTGAGACAGTGATTCAGTGAACTGTTGTAAATATTTCTCACTTTAAAATTTGGTACAAAAATGAAAAATTAGAAAGGAGATAGATCTGGAGATTATTTTTAAATTGTCGTGTGTATTGTAAGCAGTTTTAAAAAGTATTTGTTCAGACATTGAGTGTAAACAAGGGATAAATTCATTGCTAAAACATGTGTGAAGATAAATTCACTGAAGACATGTATTGCAAGTTTATCAATACTGCAAGTATTCCTTCTAAAGATATTTTTCTTTCCATGGACAAAGATGCTGTTGAGAAAGGCAAACCAACTTGAGTGAATATTTATCAAGTATGATTGACTATGTGCTTAGGAAGAGTTTTTTAAGCCTTCTTATTTCTGCTAGCATTAGTAGTGATTTCATTTAGAAACAGAAGACTTTCTGAGGTGAGAGAATTAATAAAGTGTTCAAAGATCAAATCTGACAATTCAAATAACGAGATTACTAAGGAGAATGTGTATTTGTAACTCAATATTCTGTAGTAATTTGTGTGAAAGTGACTAGAAATTTGCTTTTAACATATGCATAAAAACTATTGAAGAGTCTTATCCTGTTAATATTCACACTTGGACAATGCTAAGAAATGCGTCTGTGATCTTTGGTTTTTTGTGGTGTTGTGTTTTGTTTTTTTTCCTCCTACCTGCTTACTAGGCTTCAAGTATATAGGCAGGTAACTTTGCACAGTATTGGAGAGAAGACTATTAGGGGTGAGGTTTGGGGTTTATAGCTTTTCTATTATTTTGTTATTTAAAAGAAAATTACCCAGGCTGTTAAGTAGAAATAGTGCTACTAATAGTTTTCTCACAGTGTAAAAACAGGAAAGGTAGATTATTTTTTCTTTTCTGTTAGTTTTGGTACTTGAGAAGTAAGAAATAATGTAGAAGTGATTGAATACTTCAAATAATAATGAATGTTTGAGATGAATGACAGTTGCAAGTTTAAAGCAAATTTGAACAGCACTGTATTTCTAAAAAGTTGACCATCACAAACAGCAGTTTTGTAGTGACAGTTTTCCCAGTTAACAAGAGTAATGGTGGGATGGATCACAGAAATGATTTGCCCTAACACTACTGTGTCAACTAGACGATGGCACTACTGCATGGATAACTCGGATTAAGCAAAAAAGCAATTTAAAATATACATTAATTTGACTTTAAGCAGGCTTTCCTAGAAAGCAGGGACAGATTCAGGCTGGTGCAAGTAGAGCAACGTTCAGTTGTATGCATTTTGTGCTCTGCGTTATATATTCCCAGGCATTGTGCTTTAGCAGTTGTGATTTTTTACTGAAACTTGTTAGTCTACAACTTGTATGCCTCACACACACAATCAAGAATTGTCCATACCATTACAAGCTAGTGCTTTAACTAGATTTTGAATGGATGAGTGGTGTCCCACAAGTCTTTTGCATGGCATTACTTGTATGGAAGGTCTTACTGTATTGTCACAATAACTATTATGTCTGCAAAACGGATTTGCATCTGCAAATAATTTTCTGATCTAGACATGCTCTTAGTCTGCTATGAGGCTGAACAACTGAGGCATGTTGGCATTGCTGGAAGAGCAGATTGTTGAAGCTGATATTGATAAACAAGAAAAAAATTCAAGTTTTATTGGAAAATAAGAACAGAAATGAGTGATAGGAAAAAATATAGAATGATGTACATTCAGTTTGATATTAGTACTGGTCACACAGAAGGCAAAAAATCCTGCATACTGAAGCCCTTCTCACTTAATGTTTTGACGAGTTAGCTTCCTGTGAATGGGGAAAGTAAATTAAAACATATCAGATAATTTATTGCCTGCGTGAGGCATTCAGAAGGTACCAGTTGTCCACATTGGCTTGCTCACAAAATATTAAGAACATTGATTAGTGCTACTGTTGATACTTAGTACTTTTTGAAAAATATATACAACATTTTAATGTAAAATTAATACTGTGGTAGTAGTTAGGTCTTAGAATGTTTACCTGTGTGTATATTACATAAATGTGCATATATTTGTGTATACACATATAATTGTTTTCATAGGAAGAGTTTTGGTGATATTTACTAATCCTATTAATACTGGAAAGAGCTTTATTTGGTAATAGTGATTTGTGGTGAGAGTAAGATCAGAGGCCACTGCTTCTGTTACATTGTTACACTTCTAACTATGTTTTCTCCATCTTACACATTTATCAAAAGAGGGATGAGACAATTGGTGACTTTTATTTTTTCATAGTATAAATTTGACTGGAATGTATTTTTACATGCTTTGGGGTTATTTCTTACCTTTTGCTAAAAACCTGGAAACATCAAAGTTTTATGACTTACATGGGAAAATGAAACCAAGTATTACTCTCACTGTTGGACTTGACCTTGTTCTCAGTTGTATTAAGACAATGGAATTACTTTCTTGTTATACCAAATAACTTAAAATGAAAAATATTGGGGATAGCTATGTCTTTCTTGGGTAATGATAAATATTTTTAATTATAAATATTTTTGTCCTGCATTTCATAATTGCATCCTCTTTCCAGAAAGGTGAGCCCACAGTTGATGCTTGACATAGTCACTTAAAAAGTGACTAAAAATCTCTTAGGTCTCAATACTCTTAGTGAGAGCAGCAGTATGTTCAGAATGAAGCATGCACTTAATTCCCCATAACACGAGCACTAACAAATCAAGGCTTAGCTAAATAAGAGAAACAAAACTAATACAAAATATCTTGTAAAATCAGTATTCTAGATGTAGTGGTACATCATCATGCATTTGATGCTTAGCTATTTCTACAAATTAGGAATCTATACTAGCTTCAAAGTTAGTACGAAATTGATCTGGTAATAGTAACTAGCACACTTTATTCATTTATCTGAAGAATTTACACCTGTGGTAGGTATTTGAGGGGAGAAACCGAAAATGAATGTCAGAAATGTATAGTTGTGTAATTAAAAACATTGTGTCCTGTATCAATTGTGTCTAGTTTTGGGTGAACTGACTGTTAAGGCCTGCACACATTGATTTGTGTTTCTAATATGCTGCACGGTTTAAAGTATTTGAGTGAAATGATGCTTGAAGTTAACACTATTTTTAGATTAATGATAGAATCAACTTTTTAATTTAAAGATCTGATTTGATTTTTCCCTAATGAGCAAAAGTATTGTGGTACAAGGGCAATTCTCTTTGCACTGGCATCTAGCTGAAATCTTACTTATTTACAGGTAAAAACATTAATTCAGTTTTGCTGTTAACTATATTGTCGTATTTCCTTGTCAAGGAAAAGCAGTGGAACAAAGCTTGATCTACGTCGTCTGTTAATATCAAAGATACTTGGAGTCATACTATGCTGTACTTTGACCATTGCATTAAAATGGGAAGCTGGTGTTGCAAAAATTACTCTTGTGAGTACAGCTGAGCAAAAATTTTATATTTCAATTAAAAATACCTGTGTAAATTAAAATGCATATATAATATATATACACACACTCTTAGATTATTTTGAAGGCAAAATAGCAGAAAGAGAATTAACAGGGCTTTGAAAAGTTCCACTTGCTATGTTGCTTGGTACACTAAGCCTAAACAGGGATTATTCTAATTTTCCAGAAACTAAGTTTTTAAGGAAGCTTTAATGAAGTTAAGCTTTGAGAAGCTCTGTTTCTAAACATAACTTACTTTTGTATGCGAATTCATCCAGTATACTTTTGAAGGTCAACCAAAAAAGTTTCATTTCAGAGTAAAAAAGTAGGAGTGGAGTTAAGATGTATTCTTCCACTGTAGCTTGCTCAAAGGATGTTTTGCATTTATCTGCAAGTAAGATGTAGTGATTGTTCCAAGTACTGGTAAAGACTGTGAACAAGCAGTTACTTTTGTGATTTTTACCTACACCTAAAGGATATGTGGTGAAATAA